GATATCGTGTGTGTGTGTAGACTAACTACTAGCTAACTACGCGAGGAGGTGACTGGGTAGGTCCGAGATCACGTGATCTCCTTTCACAAGCCCCCTCACTGAGACTTCGAACGAAGATCGTGTATCTCGGGATACTCTTCCGCCAGTCTTTTCAGCTCCGCCTCCTTCTCCTCCTTATGTTCAATTTGGTGAATTTGGGCTAACTTCAATAACAGCGCCATTCGATGCTCATTTTCCGCGGACCCAGGTTGGTCTCGTTTAGGGGCTAGGCTGATTGTCTCATTATACACCTTGAGTGGCTAGTTTGGATCAGTCAATAGCCATTGAGGGTACAAGAAAATCAATGCTTACTGTGCTTCTCAGCTTGTGGAGAGACCGAAGTGAGTACTCAACTCCCGCAAACGAAACAACGTAGCCCTGGCTTTTCTGCATGCCATCAGTATCCAACAGTGGGATGGTAGAGGAGCAACCTGCAAATACCTCGTTCTTGGGATATGTCCACCACCCCTCCCGCTTAAGCTTGTCAAAGGCCCCGGCGCCCGCACCCAGCTTTCCAATACCCGTAGCACCCAGGTCGAACGACACGTCAATTTCCTGATCCTTCCCGCTTGTCATCTTGATGGCGCACTCGTCTGTCACCCATGCTCCCATAACTGCCCACAGTCCCTGCGTCTCGATATCACTTCTTCTTTCAACAAGTGCCTTGGCGTTATCCTCCACCCAATCTTTAATCGGCCCCTTAAAATCCCCTTGAAACCTATAGTTCCGCACCACAGACGACGTGATGAGCGCCGCACTGCCCGTCGTCGACGAGCTCGTTTTAACCTGGACGGACGCCTCAACGGGCGCAGCAGCTATAGCACCGCTGGCTTCAGTGGTGAGGCGGGAACTCCGGCCTGTCTCGGTCTCGGCGGATCCTGCCTGCCAATGGGTCTCACGGACGTCGCGCAGTTTCAGGTCGTGGCTAAATGGCTTGAATCCGTCCTTTTCGGCCTGCCCTTTCTCGAGCAGGTTAGTGATTTCGTTCCATTCGCCTGTGCGGTCGAAGTAGCCGACTGAGCCAAGTCGCAGGGTAGAGAACCATTGGGGGATGAAGAGGAAGGTCCCGAAGGAGGTTTCTCGGCCCATGATGTCGGCGTACTCTTTGCTTTGGCCGGACATGGTGGAGGATATCGCAAGAATTTATTGACTATGATTATAAGTGCGAAGAGAAATTCAGTTTTTCTCAGTGACTCAGTTTTTCTCAGTGACTGACCACCCGTAACGCACGACCAGGCGAGATCCGGCGACTTAAATCCTGGGGAGTCAGAGAGGGAAATCAAGGAAGACCCGAAAACACCATCGAAAACATGGAAAGGATCAACATGATCTAAGCGTCAACAAACATTAGGTAAAGATCTTCTCTTAGATAGTGGGGAACTAAGTTACAACGCATAGGGTTCTTGCAGATCAGACGGTAAGAAAAATCCACTGGAGCTGTATTTTGAGAGGGCAGGAATCTAGCTTGACTATGTAACCTCAGATTACCGCATTTTCTCTCCCGCAAGCGAAGGAAAGAGGTTTGTATCTGCGCTGTACCTGTATCTACAGTGGATCAAGCGAGATGATGAAAATGAGTTCGCTTCGAGAGATTGGTGGAGATCACGGATCCAGATTCAGCTCGCCATCAGACTGTCCAAGTGGGGTAAGTCCAGGATATTTTGCAGCAAGTCGATGGTTACGGTAAGTGAAATAAACATGTGGAGTACTTCCTGACACCACGGTCTCCGATGTGATGACTGTTGCATCTCCGAGCAAGTGCCCTAAACCAATTAGATTGACTGCTCGTCCTCATATCGCCTGAAAATTCGAGAGCAATTTAGCTGATGATGTCACATTGCAACCACTTGATTTCCAACCATCCTGCCTCCACCACCCACACCTGCAAAACACCACCTACTTTGAAGAACGAGGGGAAGTGGGTGGTAACGTGGCAATGTGGGACTGGTGGGAAGGCGGAAAGCAGCAGACGATGCAATTTGCCGCCTGCTGATTGGCCTATTCTTGGAGTCTGCCTTACAATACATAGCTAGCGATATACATACTAGAAAGTTTTTGCGTCGCGTCAAGTGGACAAAAAATCTGGATCTATAGTTCACCTTGCTGTCAGTTTGCAGTCATGCCGATAGGTCTCGCTTGCCATTTTTATTGAATGTTGGGTAATCTTGGTAGCTATGCTCGAGCGTACTTGGGTTGACCGAAGAGCTCCCATCCACTGAAAAACAGTCCGCTAATACCTGGCTTGCCTCTGTACTGCGGCTATGGCTGCCCGCACTCTGATCACACATTTCCCTTACATGAAGGCGATGCTCGAGCATCGGTCGGAAGCTTATCAAGACCATGATGATTCTTGGTATTGTGACCGGCTATTGGTTGCTTAAATTCTGATTAACTTTGAAACTGTCCAGCCGATCCAGTAGTAACCTGCCACACGTCCCAACCTAGATTATAATTGGCTGGCTGTCTGCGCGAAGCCTAATATTAACTTTCAGCTCTGTACCTGGTCATGACAAGAAATAAATGAGACCAGGGCTGAAATAAATCTATTAACCTGTTGACAGTCACTTGGGTTGCCTGGGATGATTGCTTCTAGAAGTCCATCTGGTCTCTGTTTGTAAGACGAATATGAAGATGACAGTCATGCTTCTCACAGCCTGACCAGGTTGCATGTGAAGTTATGTTACTGCAAACATGTTAAGTTTTCAGGCCTGGGGAGCAGTAACCCATGTGGCACACCATCACCAGACAGTCACAACTGTGGAATGCAGATTAGCTACAGCGTAAGTCTAATTTCTTGAAGTGCGAATTGCAGAAGCAGGAGCACTCAAACATTGACAGAATTGCTTTACATGGATGCGGTAAGATAGGGTACCATGTCATTACAAGCACACAGACCACGGATGACCCACATTATCAGCCGCAGCTGAACCTAGAAGCCCCGCACAGGTGCTCATTCCGGCAGCTAACAATGACTCCAACCGTGTCATCATACTCCATCCTATCTATCGTCAGTAGATGTTCCCAACTCCGTATGTTGAAGGGTCATGTGTGGAATGCTAATAGATAAAAGCGCTTGTCCCTTACAACAACATTAGTATCCGAGCAATCAAAAATAGCTTACAACAGTCCCAATCTGCTGCTACAAGAAATAAAATCATTAGGTGTTGATTGTTCTCAACATGAAAAAGCAATTGTGTTGAACTACTGGTTGACTGATTTTTTTGGCTGTGCAAGGTAAAAAATGTCTGACTAGGCAAATCTCTCGGCTACTCTCGCGTGTGTATGTCGCAAATATCTCGACCACGGTCAGTCAACAACAACTATATCAAATGCTAATCGGAGTGTCAGCCAGGCTGTTTGATCCCTGCGAACAGAGAGGCAGTATCGATTGTTTTGTTACCTGATGATTATAACGCTTCGAGACGGATCCAGCATGTCAAAAATGGTCCTCTGCGCTCTGCTCTCTAGCGCTCACAATGTCAGTGTACAATTTTAATAATGCATCAAGATTCGGCTACGGATCTTCTTTACATAGTATACAGAGTAGTCAAGTAACCCTTTTCCTTATATTTAACTTTAAGCCTTTTCGGGTTTCAGGGGGCCCAGTAGTAATGAAGATTAATCGCGAACAGACATCAGGATGTTGAGCTGAAGGGTTGCTTTGTAATTATTATGGCTGCCTCAGTAATTTTGCATAGCCTCAGGAGAAGGAAGAGAGATCAGTGACTGGTAGATAGCCCCGCACCTTGTCCGGCGGCCAGGACAGACGGAATTTACACCCACGGACTTGATCCGGAGAAACCTCGGATGTAAAGGAATACTTCCGGAATACGCACAGGTACATACTATGGGTTCGTCGCGCATAATATCCCAGCGGCGCATTTTGAGTTGCGCTACTTGAGGACCTCGTACCACGCTCGTCATGGGTATCACCGCCTTTTGGTCATGTCTCTTTGTATTTGATATTACTCTCTTTGACCAGCTGAAGATCAACAGAGGGACTCAACGAAGGCTTTCAACACGGGATTCGAACGCGAGGTCACGCGGAACGCGACGCGGGGCAATAGTTACTAGTTAGTCAGCAGCACGGCACTGAGTTAGCAAGATGACCCTGAACGGAACACTGGATAGACGGCTACAAGAGACATACAACAATAACAGCGAGATCAGGTGGACATCTGGAGCCTTTACAAATGTGTATATTAGATAAAATAAAGAAGCTGTGGCAGCTACACGCCGCTGCTGCCTGTATAGCTTGTTTGCATGGAAGGGATCAAGATGGTTACTGCTACGGCTGAAGAAGTCGGGTGGGGTCACATAACCTAGCTAGGACCTCCGGCGTGGCCCGCAAGGCACCGAAACGGAGTAAGGAATGCAACAAACAAACAAACAAACAGCAGTTTGCAACAAGAATACTTGGCTAAAACAAAACTCATGGAAGTGATGATAAACATGACAAAGGAGGTTTGCCTCCGTTCTATGTTTCCAAAAGGTGGGAAGTAGCAGACTAAAGAAGTCATTCACTAACCGTCGTGTGCGCAATTTCATTCAATGCATTTTGGTAAATACAATCTAGCCTGGTAGGCCCAGGACCTGTTTTTTGCGATTTAGCGCTCCAATCTGCGATAGGTAACTTCAACTTGGAATAAAATGGCCAAAACTTTGATGTATGTATGTATGTATGTATGTATGTCCGGATTACCCTAATACTAGCGCGGCCAGGGCGCTCTTGGAGAGCGCCTGCGGCCGGAACCAGCCCCCGAGCTGCGAACTCTAGCTATACAGGACCCTATTCCACTCTATTCCAATTCCTCGTAATCTTACGGTATCGCTCAAATACCGTAATTTAAACATGAAGCGATCCCCAACTCCAACAGACCAATCAGAACGCTCGTAGCCGACCTCTTATAGATGCCTTGTGGGCACCCACGAGAGCGTCGCATGTACTCAAGGGTCACAGATCATGCCTGATTCTGTAAAACCGCCCCACTCGAAAGGCTTCTTTTTATTATCCAGATTGCAGCAATGATGACTTTTGCAAGATCGACAACGCAACCGGGATCTTCAGCATCATATGGGCCAAATGTTTCCAGAATGAGAAACTTATCACAGGCTGCATTATTCCTGTAATAATTCTCAAGTTCCTTTTCATATTTAACAAAGGTCAAGAAAATCTGGTGCCGGTCTTGAGATACAAGCAAAAAGCTGCATGAGAATCAACAGTTAGTTGCTTGTTTAGAGAGCTTGCACCTGGAAGTTAACTTACTGGCCTTCGAAAACCGCTGACTCCGGAGACGTCATCATCAAAGCTGCTATTTCGCAAGCTTCTTGAATAATGACATGGTGCGACCGAAACCCCTTTTTAGCTTCAGTGATAGAGAAGACTTTAAAATCACTCGTAGAACGCAGCACTCCATCTGTGAAGGCGCGATATCGTCGCCCATCGCTAAAATCGGCAAGAAAGCCAGCTCTGTTTGGCACCCACACAAAGTCTGTTCGTTCTACTATGTGCGTAATTTCCTGAAGCAGAACAATAAGTGCCGCATTTGGCGTTGCTTCATCCTCCGCATCTCGGCACTTTTCGGACTTCTGATTGTTGGCGTGACTGTATAGATCGTGCGTTTCTTGTACCGTGGCTGTCTGCTTATGTAGCCGCTTAGCAGCCATAAATGATCCCGGCCAAAGCTCACCATGTGATTCCCTCAATTCCCAGATAGAGATGTGTTCTTGAAGAGTCCGAATGTATCCGGCCCAGTCTCGGGATTGATCAAGTAGCGTTGTTGCCGCCCTCAACATGTTCTTACTGAATCCGAACTTGCTCATGTGGTTGCCGAATTCTGTAGGGCGTACGGTTTTAGGCGAATAGCAGCGTAGCATCAGATATTGTTTATCAGACGCTGTGAAGCTGAGCCGAACATCTCACTCGGCAAGGTCTTGATGGTCAATGTTTGCAATTTTGCGCTCCGCACAAATTCCTGCCATTCTGTAGAATTATTGGGTATTCGGAAGCCCTCAACCTTTCCGAGTTCCTTTGCAGAGAGCTTTTCAGATTTCTCTTTCTCTTGTTCGGGAGGATTGGCTTGCATTGAATGCTTCCTCTTCTTGTGCGGGTGAGGCTTCATAATCACACTTCGGAGATATAACAAGCGCACCAGATGTGAACAAGCGACCGCACGAGAAGAGACCTTACAAGGAGCTGATGTTGCGAAAGTATTAGGAGCAGGAAAAATCGTCCAAGTGTGACAGTTTTGTGCTATCTGAAACCCCACCAACCGAATCCTGTCTGTTTGCAGTTCTTCATCTTATGTCGTACAGACACGCCAGACACATAATACTTTACGATGAAAAATCCATAGGAAAGCATAACGCTAGAAGCTGTGCTAGGCTGACAGTGAGGGTTATTTGAATTTGCAAGATATGGAGAGGCGTGAGAACTAGTCCCCTTCTGCAAGAAATTACAGGTTTTAATATAAACTGCCTTTACACCGCATGCAGAGCAGATTGGCTGTTTCTTGACTTGAGCAAACAATCACTGCTACCAGGCCGATACCTTAGCCTCGCAACCAAGGGGGATCAGTCATATTATCTCTTGCCTATGGACGGTAGGGTGACCTTGTAGAAGAGTCAACACAGTAGTCAGAAAACTATTTGGTATTAAAAGGCCGTGCGATTACCTAAATCCTTCTTATTCAGTTCTTTCTACATACAATTTCTCAACTCATGGGCATCATGTGCCCAGTTATGTGCGCTAAGATAAACCCAGGAAGTTGACGACGAGCCAGACGCGCGATAGGTGCTACCTAGCCAGACATTCTCCGCACGCGAGCGCTCTGTCCTATCAGGTGTTAAGGGCATTTTTGATCTTCAAAATGTAAGTCTTGATACTATGACTGACATTTCGCCACAAAGATCCCCTACTCCATGACTTCACTTCTCCGTTTCTAGATTCCTGACTCGAGTTATCGGATGGGGGTGGAGGGACTTCAGCTACTGGCTGTGAATGACTGTTAGTTTGTCACGTAAAATAAACCGCTTCCATAGTATATGAGAACTCACATCGATCATGATATTCATGTCAGTCGTGTTCCCGGTCATTTTGGAACACATAAAACTCATCAGAATGTCCATGCTCGAGATCGCCGAATCTTTGTTCGCGAAGCTAAGGAAGTCAGATTTTCGAATGACGAGACCTCTATAGTCATAGTGGGTCTCTAAGATTCTGAGCTTAAGACCGGGAAAGACGCTGATGATCATGATCTAGGTTTGAGTCAGTCAGAGGAACTTTCCAAACAACGTCTGAAGCTGACACGAAGATCTCACTTACAGGAATGACGCTGTGGTTGGGACAATCATCACTTTGTAACCGGGTCAACATGACCGCCAACATGACCATAGTCTCATATTTGGAAAGCGTTTCATTGGCCTCAGACTTCATAAAAGTTGCGAGCAGAGTGTGGGGCCTGTTGAGTTGATCCCTAGCTATATAAGCGTACTCCATCATCGAGTCACGCGACAGCCAAAAAAGGCCATCAAATTCTTCAGCAATGAGGTCCGGTGTAATATTCCCACTTCCAATAAGTTTATCAGCTCCGGATCAATCCTTCTAGTTGTACACACACTCATAATTCCCAGGGGAGGAGGTGCTCACCATTCAGTCCAGTTTGCGTAAGTCCGCAGCTGAGTCGGCCATCCAGACTCTGATATAAAATCGCGACGGCTGCTTCGGAAAATGTCTCGTATCCGGTCCACTAACTTATAAACTTGATCGGTCACCGTTGGTGGCCGCGGGCTGGGTTTGTCCCAATTGTCGAAGATCTCTTTGACAAACTTTTGCCCCTGATCATCGGTAGGATGAGGGGAGGGGACATTGTGCGTTCCGAGAGGATCAAAGAAGACTGGTGAGAGCTTATCCTGATGAGTTCCAGCTTTTGAGATGTGCAGATCCTCACATATAAGACCGAGATCTTTCTGGATATCAGGCTCAATCCACGCGGCTTGATGCTTTGCAACTGCGTTGAAGGTGTCACTGATTTTTTCTATCACTCTGGTGCGCACTTGTTCCATTTTGTCGTGATGGATTCTGTCAGAACAGTCTTTGGCTGATGGAAAGATATATTAGCTTGGACAATGGGTTTAAGAGGGATTTGTGAAGTGAAGAAATAATAAGAGTATTGCTCTAAGAATGAGGGGCTGGGAGGTTCAGGAGTCACAATTGAATGCTCACCGTCAGAGAATAAGCACATTGTGAAACAACGCATTAGTGTTACCCAAAGGTGGGCTCGGGGTGGGAAGTATCAGTCACTGTGAATAGAGACTAACTAGTACAACAACTAAATATGCTGCCACAAATCCGAAAAAGAGTCCATTGTGGCCGATTTGAATCTCTTCACCGGGCCTCCCATCTCATTAAATACAAATTTGAAGAGAAAATGAATCGTGGAATAACCCATTGTTCTGTCACTGGACTTGCTCCATTTTAACATGATAAGCCAATGTGTGAGGACTTTGGGAAGCCCATCGTTCCAAGAACACGAAGAGCATTTGTGAATAAAGTTTATCAACCATGTGTTAATTTTTGCCACAGAAGGTACTGTGGAATCACCCTTCTAAATTAATCTATTAATAAGCATTGATGGTTGAAATAACGGATCTGACTGGAATAGTAGAAACTTCTAAGCCAAAATGTCTATTACAGAGAAAACCCCGAAAGTAGTACGGATTACCCCGCCCACCGGGAATCTTTCCGACTTCTGAATAAATCTTCCCCAGTCTCTCCCTGACATTTATAATGATCAAGGCTAAAACAATTCAAATATCATGGATCAAAGACACAGCTACTACCATTGCACACAGCTCATAACTACAATAATTCGTAGCAGTAACATTTATATAACAACAAAATGGAATACCAATACCTTGATAAAAGCAGCCTCAAAACCTCTGAAATCATCCTCGGATGCATGACCATTGGCAATCCCGCCTAGGAAGGCAGTCCCTGGGTACTTCCAGAAAACAAAGCCCTCTATTACTCAAGAAAGCCTACAACAGCGGAATCAATACTTAGAACACAGTGAACTCCCATTCAAACAGGACATCAGAGATCCTAATCACTAAAGCCTCAGCAGAATATAACATCCCACAAAACAGGATCGTGATCATGACCAAGCTATACTGTCCAGTCTTCGACCCGGATTCTCCATCGCGACCCAATCCCGCCATAAACAACGGTGAGTTGGTGAATCAGATGGGCCTGAGTCGAAAAAAATATATCTTCGACACGGTGGAAGGGTCACTTGCGCGCCTGAACACGACATATATTGATATATTACAGCTACATTGACTGGACGATACTGAGCCAGAGGAAATCATGGGTGCACTGCATGATCTTGTCCGGATGGGCAAAGTTCATTATCTGGGTGCGTCGAGCATTTACTATTAGCAGTTGGCGCGGTTGCAGTACACAGCGAAGATGAACAATTGGACGACGTTTACGAGTATGCGGGGACTCTGGAACTTGCTTTACAGGGAGAAGGAGCGGGAGGTCAATCCGTTCTATAAAACTGAGGGGAATGGGCTGATTCCTTGGAGTCAGTTGGCTCGTGGATTATTGGCTAGGCCCTGGAACGCGCAGACATATCGGTCTAGTCAGGATAAAAAGACAGTTAAGTGGTTCTCTGGGGAGCAGAATAAGGTTATTGTTTCACGGGTAGAGCAGTTGGCAAAGATGAAAGGGTGCAGTATGAGTGCTGTTGCTATTACGTGGTTGTTGAAGAAGGACGCGTGTCCGATTGTTGGGTTGAATAGTATGGAGAGAATTGAATCAGCGGGAGAGGAATCGAATCTGCTACGAGATGTGTCAGATCCGTGGACAGAGTGGCCATAGCCCTGACGTTAACAGCCAAGGAACCGGAATTCTTCATCCACTCCGTGGCCAGCAGCTCTTCGGGAAGAATAGCGCAGAATATGCGCGACTCCTTGATTGTGAACTACACAACATGGAGGACGTGGAACGCCTCGCGCGTACGAACGCCCCCTGGGTCAAAGCCTTGGGTGCGGACGCGGTGCTCAAGTGCCGCGGGTACGTCGTGGCCCTCATCAACGTGGACGTCGACGTGATCGGGAGGAGCAACTCCCTGAAGCGTCAACGCGAGCTGGCCGAGCGCCTACTCGCTGCTAACACCCACCGCTGGGCCGCCACGCCGACGGACATCACGTACGTCGGCTGGGCGAGGCCCTGGAAGAGGGTCGTCCAGAAGGGCCGTCCTTCCATGCTAGTAATGGAATTTGACAACGACCGCGCCGCCAGCCGGGCCATCCGTACCAGGGTCTTGCTCGACGGCAAAAACTTCGACGCCATGATCTACGACCGAAACCAGCGCATCCTTCAGTATTCCAAATGTCAAAACTATGGACACATACGTCAACACTGCCGCAAGCACCCGGCCTGCTTTGCGCGGAAGGCCATAAAAGCACTGACTGTCCCTACAAGGACAGCACCGACAAGAGTCACGCACGCTGCGCCCTTTGCAGCAAAAGCACTACGCCTTTGACCGCACCTGCGAACATAGAAAGGCACGCCTGGAGGTGATCCGTCAGCGACGCCAAACCATGCTGCCGGACTTCCCATTGGCCCCCTGGTCAGGCATCACGTACGGGAAGGAGCCTCCCAGTGAGCCGTCCGACACTGCCATGACCGACGCGCAGGACACTGCTACTACCTCGCATGGCCGAGGACTCAGCCAATCACGCCACGCAGAGCGATCCCACTCAGAGACCAAGAAGAAGGCCACGGCGGCTCGAAGCAAGAGCCGCCGCAGCAAGGACCGCGAAAGCTCCCAGGCTCAGCCAGGAGGTGAGCAACACCGCGGTGAGCAACCCCGTGTTGCGCAACTCCGCGCTGAACCTCGGGATACCGAACAGGGTTGTGAAAGGAGATCACGTGATCTCGGACCTAGTCACCTAGCCACCCAGTCACCTCCTCGCGTAGTTAGCTAGTTAGTCTATACACACACACACACACACACACACACACACACACACACACACACACACACACACACACACACACACACACACACACAATATTATCAAATTGCTTCCACAGCTACCTCTAAGAAGATCCTCGCGCTCTACGAGGGCCTACTGTGAGACCTCGTTCATCCCAAGCCATATCACGTGAGTCTCCCGCCAATGCCACGTGATCCATCAGGCGCCGAGCACTGCGTATGGCAACGGCCGGAGGATATTCAAGGTATGGAACTTGCCAGAAAGGTCACAAGAAAGATGCTGGGGGCGTACGGGAGGAACCAAACTAAGAGGAGGAAGTTAGCGGGAGATATAGGAGAGAGAGAAGCGGCTTACTGAGCTGGTAGTTAGCTACTGAAATATATATAATGGCGCGATTCCTCGACGTATTAGTCGTAGATAGTTTCCCTTTTCTTCTTCTAATACGAAAGTCTTAGTGAAATAGTACCAACTTTCCTTAGTCAAGTTAGTAGTTTCTTGGCGTGTCAGAGTCACACTCCCAAAGGCACATGCGTATGTGATTATGAAGATGCCCACACTCTGAGAATCGGCATAGCCCACTCTCTATAAAAAGATCAAGGCGCAAAAGGTGACCGCTGCAGCTGCAGGGAGGAATCCCGCTCCCCCCAAGCAAGTTCTGCTGCCGTGTTCCCGATTTGTAAGTCTACGCAATTAGATGTCTGATAAGATCGCCGCTCGCACGGATCTGGGGGCTACTACTCACTATGATTCGCTCATACCAGACCCGCAGGCGATCCGCTACGTTGCCGAATTCATGCTGCAAACAGGCTTGCTGGGGCAGTTTACCTAACCCTGACCCCGACCAAGCCAGTGAACACGTAGCCTCAGGGCCATGGGGATAGACGCTGGGTAGAAAGGACTGAATAGGCCCTGTTTGAGTCAGCGGGGAAGGTCAAGCATGCAGAATGAACAGGCATGTTGGGAGCAAGATAATGGACGAAGAACGGGGAGGATGAGCTTGCAGGCAGCCGGCCGGCTGCGACACTCTTTTCAGTTTATTGACCTTGTGTGACTATGCTTTTGCTATGGACTTTTGGTGTTTAGTTGTGTCTGGCTATGGCAACGAGATTCCTACGTCGTAGATTGCGTTGATTTATGTGTTTGATGCGAGTTTGAGGGCTCCGAAGGTGCTCGGGGCCATATTCTTCAGACGGTGAAGCACCTGCATAGCTGGCATCTAACGAAGGCGGCTCGATCGGGTATAAGAATACGAATTGAATTGAATTGCAAGTCATAGTTCTACAGAAGGTAACCCTCGCTCCGCACACCCCTCGTCAACAGTCGCCCGCAGACTTCTTATCGCAGCTTCCCACGTCATTGCAGTCTGTGAACTGTTACCCGTTCGGCCACTTGGGTCTGGCGTCTTAAATGCATCCGACTCCTTCGCGTTCTGCTCGTCATCGATCAGCCACGCTAGCCAGGAAAGAACAGACGTCGCCTTGTCCAAATCCTTCTCATCAACAATGACACACTTAAGATACCTTCCAACCGAGAGCACGTCTTCTTCAAAAGGACCATCGCTGCTGAACGCCTCGTGCCACGAGCTAATCGCATCCCGCAGGTCAGATAAACTCGTGAGCCTCTGTGAGGTAAAAGTGGGTCGGTCTGGTAATGGGGGTAGGACGAGCCGTTTCTCTGGCGTTGCAGGCGGATCTGTAGCCGCAACTGTAGTCGAATCTGAGGTTATTGGTGAAGCAGCTCGCGGCGCCGAGGCGGGGTTGACGGCTGGTCGCTGTAGGTTCTTTGTTCGTTGTTGCTCCTGGAGCACCTCGCGGCGTATGTCCTCTGGGAGCGCGGCGAGAAAGTCAGCCGAGGCATCCGTCTGCTCGGGTGGAGGTGAGTGACGTTCGGCGGGAGCTGACGATAAAGCCGTGGCTCTAGGAATGACGAACCGAGCCTGTGTGAAGGCCGGATTGCCGACTGACTTGGTGCTAGGCCGCCCTCGTCGTTTTTTCGGAGGACTGGTGGGCTTCCGCATCATAAGACTGCCGGCAGAGGAGGGCCGAGACGGCAGCAAGGGAGCAGCTGGAGATGGTGTGGGTTGCGGGCCGGGACTTACGGATGGCCGGCTGTAGTAGCCTAATATCTCGGCGCGCACATCCTCTGGCAAGGCAGCCAAGGCCTCTGGGTCGAGCTCTGACTGGGGAGGAAGTTCTGCAGGGGCGGGCGCCCATGTGCGACTTGTAGGGCATGGGGACTCGGAGCGTGACTCCTCTCGAGGTCTACCCTGAGCGATGAGGCGAGAACGGATATCATTCGGCAGCTCAGCAACGACTTTGGGGTCAGTCTGTGAGGGCAAAATGAACTGAGTTCCCGAAACATTGAGCAGCCGGCTACTCTCACTGAATAAAGGAACGGGCTTCACCGACTCGGTCTCCCCTTTCCGAGGACTGTCTAGAATATCAGGATCGTGACGTTCAATGCTTTTGCGGACCGGAGATGCTTTGAAATTGAGTTGTCGTTGTCCAGATTTTGATGGAGAGCCCGCCTGGAGATGCTGGAGTTTGGTCATCTGAACACCCAGCCCTCTCAAGTCGCCGGGTGATAGATTCATGCTTCGTAGCATGGCAACTGCCTCTTTGCCCAGAATATCGGCTGCATCCGTGGCAACGCCGAGGGCGACACTTTTGTTGAACACATCGCACTTGCCATGGCCCAGATGTTTCACTGGTTCTAACGGCGCGTCGAGTGCTCTGCGCATGACCTTGAGAGTTAATTGTTGGCCTTTTACAAGATTTTCGACCAGTCTGCGATGCAGTTCCTGGCACAAAGACCGCACGAAGTCCTCAGCTTGGGTCTGATTCACGAAGCGAATCCCCCAATTGACTTCGGCAGATACTGACTTCCTAAGAACTTCGTTTCCGACTTCAGTTCGATCGATACCGCGGGCATATTCCCAGATCTTGACTCCGGTTTTAGGTCCAAGGCTCGTCGTGAGTCTATCGCGGGTGAGTTCTCGAACATCTTTGACAATTTTGACTCCCAATTCCTCTAACTTTGCACCCAGGCTATATCCCACTCCGGGTAGATCTTGAACTGTCAATTTACCGATGTAATCAAGAACCGCATCGGGTTTGAGCTGAAATTGACCTGCCGGCTTCGCTTTCCGTAGGGCAACCTTAGCCAAAAGAATGTTGCCTCCAATACCCACGGAAACAGCGCAGCCCGTCTCTTTCTTTACAGTGGCTCGTAAGTCGTCGGCTATTTCATCCGCCCTTGCCTGTTCCCTATAGAGTGAGCCCTCCGAGATGCCCCTACCATCCGAGCCACCAGCCTCCAGACATTGCGTAGTGATGTCCACCAGGGCCTCGTCAATGCTGACACTCTGCACGATACCATCCACCGAAAGAATGGCACCGTAGAACTTCCGACTGGCCTCTTCATATGCTGGAAAATCATAAGGTACCACCTTTAGCTCTGGGCAGGTTTGCAGCGCTCCCTTCATCCACATGCCGTTCTTGATGCCATGTGCTCGGGCTTCGTAGTTGCAACTCGCTATCTCCGAGCCCGAGCCAGTGCCGTGCGCCACTGCGACGGGCTTTCCCTGCAGCTCCGGGCGCTTCAAGGTCGACACGGCGGCAAAAAAGCAATCGAAATCTACATGCATGATATACCTCCGGGCCCCGGGGGCTGGCTTCTTGCGTTTCACCTGTGACAGCAATTTTTCTTTGGCTGCAGACTGCAACTGGGCTTTGAGATCGGCCTTCCATGTTGACAAATGATGTAGACGAGATTCGCTGTAAAACTGTTGGATGAATTGAGGATTTGCAACACTGGAATTCCTCATGTGTGGATCCGACAGTAACTGCGCATTGTATTCCTCGGAAGTCATTGCTG